CGTGTTGGTCCCGTGGCGGCACAACTTTGTTTTGAAAAATAATACGGTATTAAAATTTGTGAAGCAGGTCGAAAAATCATGTCAAGGAATTGAAGGGGCGGTTCGGGCCTCAGCCTCGTTTTTTTTTTCCTTTTCTATGTAGGGAGTTTGTGATGCTCCTGTCTCTTATACACATCTAGATGTGTATAAGAGACAGGTGTGTGTGTGTGTGTGTGTGTGTGTGTGTTGCTCTGCTGTGCGCGCACACGCACTCTTTTTCCGTGTTTTTTTTCTTTTAAGATCGCCCGATGGACCACGGATCAGGTATTAAACTGATCGGAACAAATACTACACTTGATCTATCTTAGCCCAGAGGCCGAGAAAGGTATTGTTGAGCCTATTTCTTGCGGTTCTCTTGGGCCAATTCCGCTTTCTCAGAGTAAGTTGCGTCGATTCTTGGACCTCGATCTCGGATCATACGTGGGTTTTTTTTTTTTTTTTTTTTTTTTTTTTTTTCACGTCGGTTCGTGCTTTGAATACTTACTGCTTCATCTGACTTTTTTTTTCTGAATGCAGACGCTTGTTCCGCGTGAAAATTTTATGAATGCATTCACTTGCGTGACATGGAATTCTTAAATGTGTCCAGTGTCCACTTGTTTGGTCTGCCTATGTACTTGAGCTGTGCAGACAAAAAACAAATCACTGAAAAGGGGGCGCGACACCCCCTTGAGGTATCATTATCGAAAAACTGACCTGAAGCAGGTGACTCAGAAATGTTTTGTCTTGTTGATTGAACTTCATTCTGTTCATGTGATTCCATCTGGACTCAAGCCCCAGTCTATATTTCAAACAGTTTGTGGGTGTACCTTCTGAGCTAGTCGCATTGGTCTTGTCATGCTTGCGCATGTTGCTTTACAGACTGTTACACTGACGACGGACACGAGCATACCGGCTTCTACGCAGTTTCTTCCGGTCAACTCGCCTGATCTCACCAAGGTAATAAATCCCTCTATCTGTCTCATTAAGGCCCCAAACGAATCCCTCCACCGCTCTCATCACCTAGGCAACAACTCAATCCCCTCTTCTATATCTGACCAAATCTAGATGTGTATAAGAGACAGCCTCCATAGTCTTCCCTTCTAGAGCTGGCGTAGCTCTAGCGGGGTTCTGGTTCTGGGCCTTCACGATTCCCCCTAGGTTTGGCTGGCTTGTGTTT